GCATGCATCTTTGAGGAATGAATGAGCCCATTTACCCCTAAGGAGAATCTGCCTTCTGCTACACATCCACCTGTGTCTGTGCAGTGGATTATGGTGCCACAAGGACAGAAAACATGGAAATATATAGCTCCCTGCTGGGACAAGATATTGAAAATCATGGGCTCAGGTGCTGTGGCTGCTGAGGTGGCTGACACAGCCCAGACACAGCTCCAGGGTACAATCTTAATGTTTAGCAGTTATTTAGGACTTTCCTGCCAGCTCTAATTCTAAGTCTAGGGAGAAGTAATGGGTGAGCCCAATCTTTGCAAGACACACTTTCTCCAAGAGTGACTGGGATACAGATAAAATCCTGCCAGAAGACAGTGAGTGCTGGCAGCCACCATGCTCCTCTGCTCTTGGACAATTGTCATCTCTCCCCTCTCCCACAGCTGCTCCACCCCTCATCTCTTCTGCCTGTTCCTCCAGTGTTTCCTCCCAGCTTCCTCCCTCCTCCCCTCTCCTGGGGTGTACCCTTCTTCAGGATACACAGCACTGGACGTGTTTCAAAGGGTTTTCAGACAGAGGATGGAGAATGAAGAAGGATCAGCTGGCTCCTGGGAAGGCAGCGTGACAAAGGGGAAAGAGTCTGGGAGCTGCCAAAACAGAGGCAAGTACGGAGTTATGTTAAAACAGTGCAAGTTGTTCGTTTTCATCCAGTAAATAGGGCAGCAAATCTGGCAGAAGAAACTCACTTAAAAGCCTGTAAGTGAGCTCAGTGACCTGGCACTGTCAGATTAGTTTCCTTATGTGATGCATTGCTGAACGTAATGTGTCATCATAAATCTTGGTTGCTACAGCTGTTAAAGCCATAAAGTGAAGCAGAGTTATTAATACCCAGTAGTAGTAGCTGTCAGGCTCCATTCTGTAATTGAGCATCAGATCTGCAGTTGGAAAACTCTTCTTTTTTGTCTGACATGTGGAGTCACTGCATGTCTGCAGATGCCTAGAGAGTGGAGACAGGTAGGAACATCCCACCCACGCAGGGCTGTGATGAAATCCTCCTGCAGAGCATCAAGAGTGAGCCTCTTTCTCGGCTGTTTCTCTAGCTGCCTCTGGAAGTCTGAGGTTCTCTGCTAGGAGATGAAGCAATTCTTCCTCCTGATATATGGATAAAGATAAGCACATGACTATAGATACACAGAGCACAGTTATGCAGGGAACAGCAGCCTTTAAAAAATCAGAAGATAAATTTGCTGCTAGAAGCACCATGACTGCTGGAAATCCCTGCTCTAAGGGATGCGATGCTGCTGTGGAGGACTTCCCAGCTCCCACAGAGTTCTGAGCTCAGCAAAACACCCTTTCTCCAAGAGGCAAGAAATGGTACCAGGCCTCTTCACCAGCAGGACCCATGCAAAGTAAGTTCCTGCTGCATTTAGATGTGAGGAAGACACAGAAATCCAGAGCTGCTGTCTCTCAAGTATGGCTTTTTGAAGATGTCCCCACTACTTTGCTGTGTGCCACCCCTGGCGACCCGAGCTGTGGGCTGCAGTCTCTTCTCACAAATCTTCTGATGTACAGACCCCAAACTACCCAAAAGCCAGAAGGAACAGGGCCACCCCACTGTGTGATGAAAGATGCAGACAAATCCTTCTAGGAGGGAAGAGGGTGTTATGCCTCTGCCCAGGCTGCAGTGCTTTTGCTCCCATAGCAGGAAAATCGGTTTTGCTGGATCCTGGTTGTGCTGCAAGGATCCAGAGTAGGCAGCCCAGAGAAGGCTGGCATTTTCTTTTCCCTTAGGAAGCAGCAGGGCAGACACATGCAGAGATGGAATGCACTTGCTGGAGAGAGTGAGCAGCAGTCCATCATCTGACTGGCTTTTTCTTTGCACCTGAGCTCACCCCAACTGTTAATTAGTCACACGGTTTCCTGGAACCTGGGGGAGAACATCACAATTTTCGGTGGTAGAGGAGAAGAGGATGGGGGGAGGCGGAGGTGGGGGGAGAACAAGCATTTGCAAATCAGACTGAAAAGAAATATTTACTCTAATTTGGGAGTCATGAGCAAATTCAGGACACATCGCCTCAGGCTGCAGGTGTCAAACACAGCGAAGGGGGTGTGCAGAGAAACAGTGAGGTTTAGGGAGTGCAGTTTCAGTTGTGTGAAGCCCATTAGGTACAGAGCTATCTGTGGACTCCGCCTCAAGGACTTTGTACTTAACCCCACTACAGCTTTTCAGTTTGAAATTGCATCTTTTTCACATTCCCTCATTATCCATGGCTTTGGAAAGCAACATGGAGGACTGCCGTGCTAACACTACCACTGGACCAACCTCTTGGGATCCTGCATCAAGCCCTGCCAGGTTTAAGTTGCAGACAGTACTGTTTGCCCCTGCACATTCACAGATTTGAAGGTTAACAGAGATTATTAACCACACCTTAGTATTCACATAATACCTGGATAATATAACCATGCTGTAAAACTCATAGCCCCTTGAGTAACTTGCAGCTGTCTGCAGACTTTTTTCAGATCCCTCAAGAAATGAATAATCTGTGTTTTCCCCATGGTAATTTGCTACAATTGTTATCTGCTTTCACAAGTAAAGGTCCATATACAGTTTTATCTGGTTTTAATTTCCACCTGTCTTTCTTTTCAGTATGTATGCTTTTTCCCCCTGCTGTTACTGGAAATTTGCCTGCATTTTTAAATGCTTTTTCAGTAAACCTTTTGTTTCTCACTGGTGGCAATGGCAACTGGAAGAGGACATTTTGCACATTTATGTAGCTTAAAATAATCTAAATGAGATCTGTCAGAGACTCCCCTTGCTCAGATACACAGGCACACCCTCTTGGTCATGTTCATGCAGTTTAGAACTGATCCATCCAAAGAGGGGATCTGCCTTTCCCTGGAGCAGCTTTCCTGCTGGACTGCTGCACAATCCCACAGACACACAGGCACTAAGGCAAGCATGGGAGGTGAGGCAGGATGGCAGCAAACTTCAAGCAGTGCCCTTGCACTCTTGGAAACCTCGGGGCCAATCTCAACTACAGTCATCTCGGTCTCTCAGTGGGTCACCAGCAGCGCACGGAAACTCCACAGCTCTGGAAGCTGCCGTCCCACTGCCCATCTCCCAGTAAGAATGGCAACTGGTGCATGCAGTCTGCTGGCACTGGTGAGGAAATGTCTCGTGGGCAGCATCCTCAGCAGCATCTCTGTGGTGGCCCATCCCTCCTGCAGCATGACAGCTGCTCCATGGCTCCGCAGCTCCATCCGCCTCTCCTGCAGGAAAGGGATAACAATCTCCCTTCCCACCAGGTTTCAGTCTCACCTTACCAGGTGTGAGGTGACTGCCAGTCTCACCTCCTCTGTGGCTAGTCAGCATCCTGCAAGCATCCCAGAGACCCTTGCAGATGTTTTTGCAACAGTTTTGCCTACAGCTGTCTTGCACGGAGCTGCACTAGAACAATCCCCCAGTGACAGTAATTAGGAATTTTAGGCTCTTCTATCCCATGTAGTGGAGACAGGGTAAGGTTCTGTGTCCCAGCCATGGAGAGAGCATAGCACAGATCTTTATAACAAAATGTGGCATTTTGCCATGATAAAAAAGTGGATGGAGCCAGGCTCTTCTCACTGGTGGTAGCCAGTAGGACATAAGCAGAAACTGATGCACAGTTCTTCCTCCTGACCACGAGGAAGAACTTTACTGTGTGTGAGATCACGCACTGGAACAACATGTCCAGAGAGATGTGGAGTGAGACAGAAAACAGCTGGAAAACAAACTTTCTAATACAATTTAAAGTATTAGAAAGCAGGGATTCTTTATTATGAGTGCACTGGATACCCAGAAGGTATCTTCTCTAATATAGCTGTGTCCAGAATAAAATCTCATCATGACCATACATATTCATTGCAGTGTACTTCCTATACAGAAACATTACTTTTCCTAGAACTAATTTGCATGGATCCAACTCAGAAGTCCTTTATGGTCCTAAAGGGTAATCTAAATCGGTCTGTGGTGGTCATACTCACTGAGTGGCCCCGAGAGGAAAGCTGATGTCTTTATGAACAATTTGATGAGTGAAGGTATGGGTGTTAAAATCTTTGAAATGGGTCTTAATGTTTCTGCCAGTTTTGGGCAGCAGAGCCCAGAGAACTTGGCTCCTGAAACAGACAAGACTGAACTTCTGAATTTTGGGGTGAAATAGTAGGTTCAAGGGGGGGATATGTGTTAGGCAGTTCAGGAAGGCTGTATCTTCCCTGTACCTTGGCAATGGGGAAAGGAAGAGGGCAACATGTGGCCGGGAGTTTAGGACAAAAGGTGGCTGTGCCCTCCGAAACCTCGAGAAAGCAAACTTTGTAGGTGTGTGCCCCAGTGAACTCTCCCTTTATTCAAACAAAGTTGCCGGACATCTCTGTCTCCTTTTTGGACATAAGCATCTGGCATTTGTGGATTTTCCTGACACCCCCAATGATGCAGATGACCTTGGCTTGAACTTCTTTTAGGGCATGCACTGATGCTTCTTGTTACATGGCTTTGCCACAAAAGCCACTATATTCCTCGTTATCTGTTTATCCACTGGTTCCAGCTATATTTAGCATCCTGTGTGTCTACTTTTATACTCCTTTATCTATTTTGCTAGTTAGTATTTAAGTTCTATTTAGCAGCTTCAAGGGGAACTGAAAGCTTCTCTTCTCTGTGTTGTCTGTCAGGAGTCTCCCTCACTGGAGATACTCCAGAGCCGCCTGGACACAATCCTGTACCGTGTGCTTTTGCACGACCCTTCTTGAGCAGGGAGGTTGAACCAAATGACACACTGTGGTCCCTTGCAACCTGACCGCTCCTGTGATACAAGTTCTTTTTCTGAGCATTTTTAGGGAGACAGAGGGGTGGGAGGAAAAAAAAAGACGAGTTAAGACAGACACTCATGGACGCGGCGAGGAGAGACTCGCCCCAGCAGGCACAGTGCGTGACCATTACCACGGAAATTATTATTTCCACACTGGCAAGGGAAGCGGAAAGCGGCGCCGTGCCGGGGGCGGCGCTTCCCGCCCGGCTCCCGCGGCCATGGCGGCTCCCGCCGGGATGGTGCCGGTGCTGGCGGGGCTCTACGTGGGCGGCGCGGAGTCCTGCTCGTCCCCGGAGGCGCTGTCGGCGGCGGGGGTGGTGGCGGTGCTGACGGTGGACGCGGAGGAGCCGCCGGCCGTGCCGGGCGTGCGGACCATGCACGTCCGGGCGCGGGACGAGCCCGGCGCGGACCTGCTGAGCCGCCTGGACGAGTGCGCCGCGTTCCTGGGCGCGCCCGCCCGCCCGGCCGGGGCCCCCCTCACTCACCCCGCTCTGCTCTCGCCCCCGCCGCAGGGTGAACCCCGGCTTCCAGGGGCAGCTGAAGCTCTACGAGGCGATGGGGTGCGCCGTGGACACCAGCAGCGTCCTCTACAAGCGGTACCGGCTGGAGATGCTCAGCGAGAGGTTCTCCGGTGAGTGGGGGCAGCGCGGGTGCGCGGAGCAGTCTCCCAGGCCGGGAACAGGCTGGCCCGGAATGAACCCTGTCAGAGGGGCTTGACTTCGAGTGTTGCCCCCAAAGCAGCCCAGCCTGCACTTGGCCAGGGCCAGCATTCACGTTCTACCAGCCCTAGAGAATCCCAGCTCATCAGGGGGGGGAGGAAATTGTGCCTTTGAGAGAGATGTGTGGGAAATAAGGTCTGTAAGGAGCTGCGCTCTTTAGAGCAAAGTGCAAAAAAGTGGTGAAGGTCAATTTGATATTTTTCGTGATTTTTACATCCCTCGCAAAGCAAACAGCATCCTCAGAAAATATGTCAATGTGATGAAAAAAATAACATGCAAAACTTCAGATAAAGTTGAAATGCAAAGTGCAAAAAAGTGGTGAAGGTCAATTTGATATTTTTCGTGATTTTTACATCCCTCGCAAAGCAAACAGCATCCTCAGAAAATATGTCAATGTGATGAAAAAAATAACATGCAAAACTTGAGGTAAAGTTGAAATGCAGGTAATGGAGTAAATTTTCATAGTTTAATTTGCCAAAGATATGTGTGCATCGGTGTAATTTTATAATAAAATAATAATCTTCAGCTTTTCTTGCAAGATCTCAGTGTTGCATACTCAGCATCACAGTGTTGTTGCCCTTTATGTATCATTGTCCTTAGCAGTTCTCATTTGCAAGCTGACTTTCTGTATTTTGGGCACACAAACATTGGCACAATTGCTCAGAAACCTCCTCTGCCTTTACTTTCTGCTGAAGTAAGAACATAAAGCAAAATATCATTATTTTATCATGGTTGAGGCCATAGCCTAGATCCCAGGTCTTTGCTTTAAGCAAATCTCAGGCATGGCGGGATGAGGCTCTTGGTTTTAGCTTAATGTATTGGAATTGGTGAGAGAGCAAATGAAAGGGAAGAAGGTGGCTCCTGCAGGCTGTGACTGGAGCACAGGAATGTAGCGTGGCTGAACTGATCTGATTCACAACATGGTTCTGACTCCTCTGCAGAACCTCAAGACTTGCCCCGAGAAGTCTTTGCAGTTGATCCTACCACTGTATGTCAGACTTTGAACACAGAGGTTCTCTACAGATGCAGGAAATGCAGGTACTTTATATATTTTTTAAAATATGTTTTTTTTTACATTTATAAAATACTTTCTCCTTAAAACGGCATTGTGAAATCTACTAAAGAGTAGAATAACCTGTGTAAATCAATGGGTATGTTATTGTTGTCAGGTCAGGGATGAGCTGTTGCCTAAGTTTCCATACTGTGTTTGCAGGGAAAAAAAATCGAAAGTACAAAATAAAAAAAATTTTGTTCCCTGGAGTGGTGCTTGTGAACCTTCTAGACTAATAAAAAAATGTAGGATTTGTACTCCTTTTTAATTATTCAAAATCAGGAGGCCCATATCCTTATTTTCTCTTGTCTGTAGATTTGCCCAGTTAAAAAACCTGTTTGTTTTACTTCTTTTTTCCCATGTCCTGGAGGGCAGACGCGCTCTGTTCCGTAGCTCCAGCATTTTGTCCCACACGGAAGGAATGGGACCGACAGCCTTTGCCCACAAGAGGATAGCAGAGTCTGCTCGGCTTTCTGGGAATGGCCAGGAAAAGTGCACCTCGTACTTCATCGAGCCCGTGCAGTGGATGGAGCCGGCATTGCTCGGAGTGATGGAAGGACAGGTGAAGTGGAGCATGCACTTTGAGCGTTGGATTTTTGGTTTGGGGTTTTTTTTGGTTTTTTTTTTGTGAAGGTGGAATTGTGTTTCTTCCCTGAAAGGAAAACCCCCACACAAAGTCCTAGGCCTCCCAGCCTTACTGATGTGAATTTTGCAGCTTACAGGCAGATGCTTAAATGAAAAATAGTCTTTCACAAGGAAATGAGCTGATGCTCTGCTTGAGCTGACAATACCAGCCAGGATCTTGGAGAGGGTTTATCTGCTGTTTGTTTCTATTATGAGAAAGATTTGTGGGACTTCAGAAGCCTGTTGTGGTCTCAGGCTGACCGAGTCTTTTGGACCCTGGTAAAACTGTCTTGGAATCCCACTAGGTCCCAGCAGCTGCATTTCCACACCCCACCTTCTGCCAGCACAGCTGCCTGCTACACCCCAGGGCTAAAGAGCCCTTCCAGTTTGGCTTTTTGGCCTGTTTTTAGCTCATGTCTTAGACTGAGTCCTGTGTTTTTCTTGCAGCTTCTGTGTCCCAAATGCACGTCGAAGCTGGGCTCCTTCAGCTGGAGGGGGGACCAGTGTTCCTGTGGCCGCTGGGTGACGCCGGCCTTCCAGATCCACAAAAGTCGAGTGGATGAAGTGAGGACGTTGCCTGTTGGTAACTTCCAGACTGCCAAAACGTGAACTCATCACTTCACTTGATGGATTTCTTAACAGCTACTGAGAACTACTAGTCCATGGTTGCCAGGAAATGAGCTTATGACTTTCAGCCCTTTGCAAGGTGGTGGAATGACTTGAACACCTTCAGTTTGCCGTATCTCTTAATATATTCTATGAAATACCAGAACACTTTCTTCAAAGAGGTGTTACAGAGTGGTCAAATCTACAAAATGGGCCAAATGTGATGTTTTTAGTGTATTCTTTATTTATGTGTTGCTATTCAGAGAAGGTCTCAACACCTTATTCAAAAGGAGTTGCTGTGGCCAGTAGTGCTGCTCAGCTTCTGATCCAAAGTGCCAAGTGCCCTCAAATGGTACAATTACAGTTGTTTTGCATGCATGGCAGCAAAATACAAACTTACAGTTACACTTCCCTTGTATTAAAAGTAATCCTAAAAATACCTGCCCTAAGAGCATTTACTACTTTGTAACTGTGCAAGCTGTAATGGAATGGGAGAACTGAAGTAAAGAGTCCATGCCAAATTACTGCTTGCAGTTTTGAAGAAATCCCTAAAGCAATGAGTAATTTTTTTGTTAAGCAAGCTGTCACCTTTTGTGATGGGCTGCTGTGTACACCACTGTGGCATAGGTTTGGTTTGACATAAGAAAACAGGACAGATAAAACCTAATTTAAATCAATTTTATTTTCATTGACTTGAACAATTTTTTTAAATTTATTTTTTTACACAATTTCCAGCAACGTACATTATGAAATATACAAGATAAAGTAGGTGGTGGGGTTCTGCCCATGTTGTAATTCCTCCCACAGCTGTGGAAGGAAGACTTGCAGGACACAGTGAACATCAGAATCTCAACACTGAAAACAGACACAAAACAAAAAGGACAAAAATATATATGAAACTTTAAACTGGTCACACTTCAGGGCCAGGTACAGCACAATAAATATTAGAACTGCATTATCTTAGACATCTTCTGTAAAGTTTATAACATCCTCTATTTAAAGAGATAAGAACATCTGGTTTCTAGCATGAAATGCTACATTGTACAGTGGTGAAGGGTACAAATGATGAGCCCAGCAAGGGCTTGGATGGTGACTACTCATTCACACATGCTCGTTGATAAAATAAGCAGCATACACCAAAAGTTTAGTGAGCTGTAAACTTAAGCGTTCACTACCAGAATATCAGCTGGAGGAGCAGTTTCTTTTCGGGAGAACCAAAAATAGTCAATCCCTTTAAGTTTCAGCTGGGCTCTCCCCTGACAAACAGTGGGTTGATACCATAATGGAAGTGGCAGCATTTGGTCCGTAGCACAAGATCCCTTTGCATCACTACTGTTCAAAGCTGGCGCCGGTGGAAATACTTCAGTGCAGAATTAACGCTCACGCAGGCACGGTGTCACCAACAACAGGTGCTGTCTCAGGACTAACAAAGCAGTAGGTGGCAGCTGGAACCCAGCTGGGCACAGGATGCCACCTGACACAATCGAGAGGGAGACTGGAGAGGATGCCAGCATCTCTCTCTCTTGCACTCTGGAGCAATGGGATGAGGGCTGGGCTCAGGGAGTTTGACAGAAAGGCTGCGCTCTGCTCATTCCTCATCTCAGTCTAGTTTTACCAATAAAAAATAGCCCAAGAGACAGCAGTTTCAGCTGCTTGACAGAGTGCTTCCAGAGCACAGAGCAGAAGACCAGAGCCACTGGTTTCTCTTGCATCGTAATCAACAAGGCAGGAGTAAATACATTTTGTACTCTTCAACCTTCCCCCACTCATCCCCTGCCCCCAGCTGAGCATATACATTCCTTTTACACAAGAACTGGGGACCTTCTGTGCCACCACCCAACAGGCCAGGTGAACACAGGTGGAGGAAGAAGGCTAAGCACGTGCTTTCCTTTCCTTGGCATAACCTGGGCATTGCACTGGGGGCAACTGCACTGGCAGAGCACCACCAAGGAAGGACCAAGGACCACACTGTGGTCAGCACGTGTGGCATCACTGTACCTTGCCAACCATGCCCTGCAGTACATGGCAGCATCACAAACTTCACAAAGTAAAGCAGCTGAGTGTCAGGAAATTTTACAGGATGAAAGGGAGCCAAGAAGGTAAAATTCTGCTGGAAGCTGAGCACCTGTGGCTTTGATTTTAGCTGATGCTGAGTCCAACAGTCCTATCTGCATTAAGTAGGAAGATAAAATTGTATTTCTCCAGTGTACAAAATTATACCAGTCACTTGCATATGCTCATCTTCTATTTAGTCCCTTCTTGAAGAGGACCAGAACTACCACATTTCAGTACCAAAAGACTCGGTTGAGAGACTCAGAAATGACAGAGTAGTGAAGAATTTTTGGTTGTATCAACATGTCATCACAATATGGTCAAAAATTCTGTTTGAGAACAGGGAGTTCTATGTCTGATAGTCACTTAGCAAAGTGGCAGGTGTAAATGCCCTTCCCACTGCCAGCTCGCAATGTACTGCATGAAGACCTACACCTCCTCTGCCAGCACAGCTCAACTGGTTACACCCCGAGGGGAAGGACTGGTTACCAGGAGAGCTGGGAGAGGAAAGGTGAAATTTTTCCCACCCTAGAAGTGTACAACAGCATTTCCTCACTCAGCCAGGCCCATTCACACATCACTCACCACTTTAGACGCACAAAGCAATGCCAAATACAAACTAAGAGGAATGTTTCTTGTAAAGACACTCTCTGAGTATGAACAGGGGAAACATAGGGTTATTTATCAACTCAAGTACTGTTGCATCATTCTTGTAAGGGAGGGAAGCAGAGGAGCTGAGATGAGGAACTGAGAGGACAAACTGGAGTGGTCACAGAGGTCGAGTCTAGTCTTCCAGACTGCGAAATGCATTCTGCATATCCTCAAACAGCTGAGCATAGTCCGCCTTGATTTTTGTTTCACCATCTTTGACGGGGTCCTGAAAGAACACAGCAAGTAAACAGATCCATCAGGAAAAGCCCATGGTAATTAACTCAGCCCTGGTTTGCTACTGCTGTAACCTCTTGACCTCAGGATTAACACTTGCCAGCTGCAGAGCAGGCACCCTTAGCTCTGTCTTTGCATCATGTCTGTCTCCCTCACCAAGAGCCACAGGGTTTAAATCTCATTCTCTTCCCACATTAGTGAGCAGGCAGAATGGGTACTGGAAAGAGATTTATTTTTTTTCCATGAGCAGTGGTTACTGCACTGTAAAGCAACTGATTTGGAAAGCAAGCAAAAATACTGAGGGTCTTGGTTAGTGCTGTGTGTTTTAAGAGCTGCAGTGATTAATACCAGCTCCTATCCCCACACCAAATGCAGTGCATCCACATTAAGTGGAAGAGTTACTCTGCAATTACTTAGACGTTGTTTGGTTCAAATTAAAATGTATTGTGTAATCATAAAAATATCAAAAATATCTTTGTACAGCTTCATTTTCTCCGAATATTTTTCATTAGACAAAGGCACCAAAAAAATGATCAGCTTTGCTCTGAGGCTGCAAGGTTTTCTCTGCAAGAAGCATTAACTGTCAGGCTGTGAAATCTGTTCAATGTCTTCACCATGCTCCTCTGAGTGCTAAGATCCTCTGGGTCAGTGCAGCTCTTGGTAAACACAGAGGCCTTACATGTGTGGATGCACTATTTCTTACATTGTCTCTCCAAAGTACCCAAACCACAGGATGCAGGACATCTGAATCCTCACACCTGTCAGACTGACCTGGGGAATACAATTTTCCTTTCATAACCATTAGAGATCCAGCTCCACTTAACATGTATTCACTCTCTGGTTTCCCTTTTGCAGCCATGCTGTCCACTGCTCTGCTGTACTGCAGGTGCCTGCTGGTGGGCCAGGGTTTGTAGGGAGTATTTTAATTATTCTATCTACATAAGCAGCTCTCAAAGAAGCTCATGTCCCCAAGGGCATCTGGTTATGTTCTTGATGCTTTGAGAATATATACCAGGAACCCACTTACTGCAGAAACAAGCCAGTACCCTGCAGGAACAGAATACACTGGCATGGCAGAATATTTAATTCTAAACATATTTAATCCACTGCTACTTGTTCTTCAAAGATTTGCAGTATTGACTTACATGAGTTTTAACAGTAAGCATTACATTTCATAAAGGAGATCAGTCAGTATCACAGGTTACCCACAGTCCTACCAGTAACTGCTACACCAGCATACTCTGGAGGAGTTTTAATAAAGATGTACCCTAAAATGACAGCTTCTGAAGTTATCCAGAGCAGGTGCTCCAATCCACTTGTTTTGTCTTAAATCCATGCTAAAGTTACTCCTCCCTTCCTCTCCCCACTTCCAACACTCTCTTTTATATTAGAGACAGGAATAAGCAGCCTAAAGTTCAAATCCAGGATAAACTGAATTATAGAAATGTTAACTGAACTATTGTAAATTAAAGTTAAGGGAAAAAATGCTTCTGCAATAACATATGACATGTCCCATGTTTGGCTTCAGGCTGCTTCTCTCTGACAATAGTCTCCTTAGAACATTACAATATTTTTACAGAATTTTATCACAAAACTCCCAAAGCAAACTGGAAAAGATGCTTGTACTGTTACCATGACTATATGTAACACAAAAGAGACTGCTGAAGGTGGAGTTGCCAAGGCTGTGCAGTCATCATCAGCTGAATGGATTTCTGCACTGACCATTCTTGTGCTCATAAACCAATTCTTTACATCTTCAAAATGATGGAGTAGAGTCTCTATTCACAGACCTTTACCAAAGATCTTTGGTAAATACCACTGAGTCATCCTTCCAGAGGCCCTGGAAGCTCACAGGAAGCAGGACAACCCCCTTCCTTACAAACATACCTTGAACTTCATGGAGGTAAGTCTGTAGAGGATTTCGCTCATGTTCTCTCGGATGATGGACCACGTGATCTTATTGTCACTCTGAGCTGTGGTTTCTACAGCACGGCGTGCCATGTCATAAAATGCAATCATGTTGGAAAGCATTCCCACTGTTTTATAGAAAGGGCAGAACCTGATGGAATAGAAGAGGACCTGTCAGGTATCTTGGAACAGTTATCAGCATCCTCCCCTGACAGAAAGAGTGCCAGCCCACTTTACTCCAGGGATTTTTAAGGTATACTGCCAAAGGAGAGGGGGTGCCTCAAATAGGTCCCACATTTTTAAATAGTCAAATTGCAGGCCAAGACAATCATCCTGAAGCTGACTGAAGTTGAGGTTTCTGAAGCAGTACCCAAACATTCAGGCAAAACAGGAGTGAACAGGAACTGCTGCTCTACAAGTCTCACATTTCAATCTGTGCCAATGCTAACAAGTAAAGGAAAACAATGAGCAGCCAACAGAATTCCTCCTTCCTGTTTTGTCCATCCAGGGAGCAGGCTTCCTCCTAACAGGCTGGGATGACAGCTCTGCAAGTTTCTTTGCTCACAGGAAAAGGAATTTCGAGCACACAAGAGC